TGGCGGAGAGACAAGACATTCTTGCCAAGCCCTGCCCAAGTGCTGATCTGTAAGCAAAATAAATGATTGCTGTTGATCCAGGCCACCAGGTTTTGGGGTCACTTGTTACATAGCATTAGGTAACCTAAATATTCTCCCCCCTCACAATCCTCTCCTCTCTCTTCTCTCCTCCCCCTCCCTTTGCCTGACTCCAACTCTCCCTGAGCCTTTCCCTTTCTGTGCTGACATTCTCCGTGTTTATAAATCTAGTCTCTTTGACACGCTTATTCATTCAGATTTCCCTGAGGACCGCCTCTGTGCCCAGCCCTGCGCTACGTGACACATAAGCTCTATGGGGAGTATTTTGTACTATGGAGTTGGAGTAGCTCTGTGAGAAAAAGTAATGACCAAGTAAGAGATGTAAGGAATGAAGAAAAGCTATGAAGACTGAACCGTGGTGACCGAAGGGGACAAAGGCATCCATCAAAAACCCAAATCGTGAATTTTTTTTCAATTTCGGTATACAGTTAACCCTTGAACAATGTTGGGGTTAGGGGCACCCAGTTGAAACTCTACATATAACTCGACTCCCCAAAAACTTTACGAATAGCCTACTGTTGACTGGAAGCCTTACTGATAATAACAGTCGATTAACATATATTTTGCATCTTATGTGTGTTACATACTATATTCTTACAATAAAGTAAGCTAGAGAAAATGTTATTAAGAAAATCATAAGGAGGAAATATATTTACAGTATTTATTGAAAAAGATCTGTATAAGTGGACCCCCGTTGTCTAAGGGGAAACTGCAATTGACAACTGCATTTAGATTTAGGTGTATGTTCTTTTTTTTCCTTTGTTTTACTTTTTTTCCTTTTTCGTTGTTTTTGGTCCTTTTTTTCACAGCGTGGAAATCTATTTGTTAATTACAATATGTGACCATCGCACTTTGAGGCAAATTGAGAACATAAAAACTTCAGGCTCCTGACCACTAAAGCTACAAGTCACCTCTCCCGGAATGAGCATCGCTTTGCTTAGAATGATCCGAGGCTCTCTTTGAATGAGCAAGTTTGGGAAGCACTTGCCTCTTTAAATTTCTAATGTTTCTTCCAAATATTGTTGAGCGCCCTAGGAAAGGCCCTTTCCTCACAGCTTTCCTGACCCCCAATCCCACCTCCAACCATGACCTTATCCCTTATCCTGCTCCAGAGGATGAGACGAGGGTCCAGATGGGTCAAAGTTCAGGGACAGAATGAGAATAGTTGACACTATTCGGTCATTTTTATTTTATTTTGTCATAATTTTATCCTGAAGATTTTTCGAGTTTACAAAGAGAAGTAGTCCAGTGAATATTCATGTACCATTCGTCCAGATGCATTGCAGGGAAAAGTTTTCAGAACTACAAATCTCACCAGGAAACTCTAGTAGGCCGGATTCTCTCAAACATTTCCAGAATATGAAAAGCCAGATACACACATTCCTTAAACCAAAACATTACTTCCAGAGCTCTGAGTCACGTGAACATTTCTATATTTAACTCCAAATATTCCCAGTGTTAAGTGATTCCAGCTAAGGAAATAATTATGGCAACGAGGGATTTACTGAGTTCTTTTGATCATCTCTGTGGCCGAGGGTGCTTTGCAAAAATGGCTACAACAAGATTTCCCATCCTATATGCTCTTCTTACAACATTCTTTTGACGTTGCTCCCTTTGAGAGATGATGTTTACTTTGTTCACTTCTCTTGAAACTGTTCTGGCTTTGGTGACTGACCAATCGAATGTAGCAGAAGGGACACTGCTTAACTTCCAAGGTAAGTCAGGAAAGGGAAGGCTACTTCCTCCTTGTTCAGGGAACACTCGAGTTGGAGCCCTGATAAACCAGATAAGCAGTCCCATCCCCTATGGCTGTTATGTTGAGAGGAAGCCCAACCAGCCCATCAGGAGAAAGCACATGAAGAAGCTCTGAAATTACACAAAGCCAGAGGGATGCCCGCCCAGCCCCTAGCTCTTCAGCTTTCCACTATCCCAGTTTTAGCCACGTGGTCTGCAACTGCAGGAGAAGTCCCAGGGCAGAACCAGCCAGCCAAACTTTTCTGATTTCTTGACCCACGGATACCGTGAAAGATAATGAAAGAGGAGATCGAATACATGATGATGGAAGGAGACTAGACTTCAGGTGATGAGCACACAATAGAGTATACAGGTATCATATTATAAAATTGTACACCTAAAATTTACATAATGTTATTAACCAATGTTACCCCAATAAATGTAATAACAATTTAAAAAGAAGAGAAAAAAAATAATGAAATGACGGATGCTGCTTCAAGCCATTAAATTTCAGGGTGTTTTTTAAAATGTGGTAAAGTACACATAACATAAAATGTACCATCTTACCCATTTCTGAGTGTATAGTTCAATAATGTTGGGTATATTTACATTGTTGTGCAACCGATCTCCAAAACCTTTTCATCTTGCAAAACTGAAACTCTGTACCCATTAATCAACTCTTCATTTCCCCATCCACCTAGCCCTACCATTCTACTTCTGTTTTTATGAGTTTGACTCTTCTAGATATTTCATATAAGTGAAATCATTCAGTGTTTGTCATGTTGTGACTGGCTTATTTCACTTAGCATAATGTCCACAAGGTTCATCCATGTGTAACAGCATCTTGCAAAACTGAAACTCTGTACCCATTAATCAACTCTTCATTTCCCCATCCACCTAGCCCTACCATTCTACTTCTGTTTTTATGAGTTTGACTCTTCTAGATATTTCATATAAGTGAAATCATTCAGTGTTTGTCATGTTGTGACTGGCTTATTTCACTTAGCATAATGTCCACAAGGTTCATCCATGTATAGCATGTGTCAGAACTTCCTTCCTTTTTAAGGCTGAATATATATATCTCATTGTAAGTATATACCATCTTTTGTTTAGCCACTCATCCATCTATAGACACTTGGGTTGCTTCTTCTACCTTTTGACTATGGTGAAAAATGCTATGAATACGGTTGTATCAATATCTTCTTGAGACCCCGTATTCGATTCTCCTGGGTACATACCCATGGGGCGGTTTGTTTTTCAACATTTAATCAGAACAGCTGCCTAAAGCGAGACTTGTAACTTAAAAGGAGTGGAAAGCAGTTATTCAGTAGACCAGGCTCCTGGGTTTAAGGATTACATAATTACCTCCCCCCAGGTGATTGCTCACCATTAACCAAGGCGATGGTTCTCAATCCCACCTGCACATTAGAATTATCTGGGGAGCTTTTCAGCAAATATGGTGCCCAGGCACTACCTTCAGAGACTCTGATTAATTGGTCTGGGGTGGAGCTAAGACATTCAGATTTTTACAAAATGCTCCCCAGATGATTCTAAAATGCAGTCAGGGGAGAACCATGAAACAAAGATGTGTGCTGCTTCATTCTAGTCTCAAGTCCTTTCCTGTTCTTCCTGTTAGGCCCACGTGACTCTTCCAGCTGTTTAAGAGACATCAGAATGAGTTCTGAATATCTCTCATGGCTCTGTACAACTTTTAATCACACTTTCTAAGTCATTCTGTAGACATGGGTTGCTGGTTAAAGTAGGAATGTATGGGAGTCAAGTGTTAATGGGGATTTAAAAACTAGTAGGTTTTAGTCTACGGCCATGCCACCCTGAACAAGCCCGATCCTGTCTGATCTCAGAAGCTAAGCAAGATCGGGCCTGGTTAGTACTTGGATAGGAGACCACCTAGGAAGACCAGTTGCTGTAGGTGTCAAAAATAAAAAATAAGGGATTGTAAGCTGACAAGGTCCTTGCAATCTGTGAGGTCAACCAAGGATTGCCTCGCCTAAAAAAATAAATAAATAAATAGTAGGTTTTAATAAAAGTATAATATCTATACTAAATTACAAATATTAAATTACACGAATTGATGGATTTTTACCTATAAAAGGTGTTATGGGTAGAACTATGTCCTCCCCAAAATATGTTTAAGTTCTTCTAACACCTGCTACTTATGAATGTGACCTTATTTGAATATAGGGTCTTTGCAGATGTAATCAAATAAAGATGAGACCATTAGGGTGAACCCTAAGTCATTATATTTAGTGTCCTAATAGGGAGATACAGAGTAACACAAGGAGAAGGCCATGTGATGATGAAGGGAGTGATTGGGGTGATGGCCCTACAAGCCAAAGATCACCAAGGATTCATCAGAAGCTAGGGGAGAGAGGCATGGAATAGATTATTATTTTTTTTAATTTTATTTTATTAAACTTATTCAGGTGACATTGATTAATGTAATTATATAGGTTTCAAGTGTACAATTCTGTAATACATCATGTGTAAATTACATTGTGTTCACCACCCAAAGTCAAGTCTCCTTCCATCACCATTTATTTGACCCCTCTTATCCTTTTCTACCTCTTCTCATCCCCCTTTCCCTCTGGTAACCATTAAACTGTTGTCTGTGTCTATGAGTTTTTGTTTGTCTTGTTGAAATAGATTCTCCCTCACAGCCCTCAGACAGAATCAACCTTGCTGACACCTTGATCTTGGATTCCTGGCCTCCAGACCTGTGAGACAATAAATAACTATTGTTTTAAGCCCCCTCGTTTGTGGTACCTTCAGCATATCGTTGGAATAGATTCATAACTCCATCCAGTATATGAAGAATAATAGAAGTCAGGTTATCTCAATGTTAGAAAAGTTACAAGTAGAGAAAAAGCAGAGGCTGAAATGAATCCTGTGCTTTGGATCAGAATTAAAGTTATTGGTATGTGTTAGTTTCCCAGGGCGGCCATAACAAAGTATCAGAAGCTAGGGGGCGTAAAACAGCAGAAACTTATTGTCTCACAGTTTTGGGGGCCAGAAATTTGAAATGAAGGTCTGAGCTTTCTGAAGGCCTAGGGACGGAATCCTCCCTTGCCTCTTGTAGCTTCTGGCAGTTGCTAACAATCCTTGCCATTCCTTGGCTCATAGATGCATCACTCCAATCTGGCCTTTGTTGTCACATGGTGTTTTCCCTGTGTGTGTGTGTGTGTGTGTGTGTGTGTGTGTGTGTGTGTGTGTGTGTGTGTTTATCTATGTCTCTTCTCCTCTTCTTATGACATGAGTCGTATTGGAGGGAAGGCCTACCCTACTTCATTGTGACCTCATCTAATTTAATTAATTGTATCTTCAATGGTCCTATTTCCAATAAAGTCGCATTCTGAGGTTCCAGGAAAGCCACGAATCTGTGGGGAGGGAAATACTGTTTGACCTAGTACAGGTGCGAGCACATACTTTTAAATATATCATGACATATGTAGAAATAATTATGTATGTATAGATGGGGAGCTAGCTAGCTGGATGAAATAACTCTGGGATTTGGATTAAATCTAGCAGTTGGGAGGGGTTGGTGGATGGGAGTAAGAAACTGAGCCTGGTCAAAGTTGGGTGATGAATACATGAAGGTTCATTTTACTCTTCTATTTTCTTTATATGTTTGCATTTTACCATAATCAAACGTTTTTTAAAACTCTCATTTTAAAATTCTGAATCCAAAGCAGTTTCACTATGCTGCGATGCTTCCTGCTCTCAGGGAAAAAAGCCAATGACAGAATCAAATAACCTCTTCGTGCAGGAAAGACGTTTAGAAGTCAAGGAATGACAAGGCAGCAGAGAGCTATATCAAGTATCTCTTGGATAAGCCTTTGGAAATAAACAGCTTTGCTGAGCTGCTTTGCATTATTAAAGTGAAATGTACATGGATCATAAAAAGAATAAAGGGAGTCAAATTATTTTGAAGAGCTAAAACAGATCTGTAGTGTTAAATGATTTATTAGTTAATAGACTGACCTTGAAAGTGACTCTGAAGATCCACGGCATGTAGTCATTTGTAATTGGTTAGGGAGTGGCCTGATGAGCTATTATCTGTGAGTATGCAGTAACACTTTGTGAAAAAGAGCCCTGAAAATAAAGCTAACTGCTCTATAAATTATTTTCTCCTGCACTCCTACACTCATTACACGTCTAGAATGTCCCCTTTCTCTCTCCCCCCTTATACTTTTCTAAAGCTTATAGGAAAAAAAATAATATAGGGAACATTTAATGTAATGGTATATTCTCAAGTTTGGGGAGCTGCACGTTTTTAAACTTTTTTATTGAGATGAAATTCGCATAACATAACATAAACCATTTTGTGAAGTGAACAGTTCAGTGGCATTTAGCACACTCACCATGCTGTATAACCACCATTTCTAGTTCCAAAACATTTTCATTACACAGATGTGGTGGTATACCCGAGTCTACCATGACTTTGCTATGCACACAGTTCCAAAAGAACTGGAAAAGTCTGGCATTGCAGCTTAATATAACAGTATAAACAGGGCTTTCGACTATTTAAGAATTATCGTTAACTTAGTTCATGAAGTGATCATTCAATACCAATGTCATGTTGCAGGACATTTTGACATCCCCGGTCTCTGTTCTCCTGTGCCAGTAACAACCTGCTCATTATCATGATGCTGGTAAAACTCCCCTCAAATTTCCAAAACGCCCCCTAGGGAGCAATACTGTCCCCTTGAGAACCAGTTGACGACTAAATTTAATTTCCCTCAATGACTTCCAAAATGTCCTCTAGGGGGCGACATCATCTCTCGAGAACCAGGTAGACGAATCAATCAATCAGGACTTCATTATCCCCATCTCCCCAATAAATCCAGGGTTGGATTTGTGAGGAAGAAAGGGGAAATAGTTATTGGGTTGGCAATCAGCAGGATCCAACACATCATAATGCCTCTCTTTTGCCAATGGCCTCCTTTCTTCCCCAGGGGGTCGGGGAGAGGATTCCAGAGGTTGGAGCCAGCTGTTGGGGTTTCTTCCACACTCTGTTGAGTGTCTTCTCTGTAAAGGACTGCTCATCCACGGCATAAAGAACCCACCCTAGAGCCACCCCAGGAACTAGAAAAATAAAATTCTTTGCTAGAATAATGATGCTCCAAGAATAGAAAGAAACAGGTACCATGGAAGCATTGATCTGACTTGTCGGCATTACAGAAGGTTCCACCTCAGAAAAATACAGGGATCTGCCAGCTCAAAAACGTTTTTGGGATCCAGAGGAAGAGGTATGTTTGAAATTTTTTTTCCCAAAATAAAGGGCAAGTTGCTGAAACTTGCACTTTAACCTCTCCTTCCACCAACACACTTAAAACAATAACAACAACACAATGCTTGGTGGCCCTCTTGGAATTTTGGCGGCAATTTGTATGATGGTTGGGAGACTTGCTTTCATTCATCAGCAGAGAAAGCTCTAAGGCTGCTGGGGCCCCATGCAAGAGGAGGTCTCCTAGCTGGTCCAAGATGTAGTGCAAAGGACTCTGCCATTTGGGTCTTCTAACCCAGCGATCCAGGGATTCTCAAAAGCGATGAACATGCTACAATTTACTTGTCTGTTCGCCTACTTATGAGCATTTAGGTAGTTCCCAGTGAGGACCTATTTCACAGTGCTGCTGTGAACATTCTTGTTTATACCTTTTGGTATTCATTTCTATTGGATAAATACTTTTGAATGAAATTGTGGAATCAGCGTAGGCATATATTCAGCTGTAGTTCGTATGGCCAGGTGATTTTTCAGTGATTCTAAGGGAACTCCTGTTTTTATCCTCTGCTCTGGTCACTCTACTCGGACACCAAGCAATTCTCCAACTGGCAGACACCAGCTGTCTCGGCTATTCTCTCTCTGGATAATCTCAGAAATAGCCACCTGGACATTAATTCATAGTTTTAACATACGTTTGTACATTCAAGAATCTAAGAGGTCTTTTGTCGTTTTGCTCTGCAGATGTTAACTGATTAACCTCTCTTATCTCCTCCTTCCAACCTCTGACATGTTTAATTCAATGTTGCACAGCTCAGAAATGTTTTCCTGTCATAAAGAATGTCCCGACCAAGAGCAAATCTTTTAATTGGCCTACAAGCGACTTTTTTTTCTTTGCATGCATGCTTATAATAAAATGTTGGCACCTGCTGATAACTAAATTGTCCAATGAAGGTTTTTTGTTTGTTTGTTTTTTAACATATCAAGAGCCAGTAGAGCAGGGTCATTATGTGTAATTGTGCAGGGTGTCATTCTATGCCTTGATTTCTGAACCCCACGCATTCTCATTACAGACGAAACAACACTGCTTGAGAACACAGACCATATCTAGGAGGACAGTACTCTGTCTTTTTGAGGCATAGTGTTCATCTGGCGCCATCTCTGAAGCTTCTACAGGCCATTCCACAATCCTAGAGGGCCATCCAGTTTTAGGTTATGAGGAAAATAAAAAGACCAGCAAATCTCAGCAGGTGAGGTTTCTCCACAGTAGAGCGCTGTCTACCAAGACCTTCTGTTATTCCAGATGTTACTTTGTGTGTTACTATGTAATTGTTGATGAGGGTATAGACTTGGGAAAGTTATGGAAGATTCTCAAGTTACAGATGAGTTTTGTCCAGCAGAAAACAACTCTGAAAGACATTGGCTAGTTTTGTGTCAAACTTTCCAACCTAATTCCAGCTTTCTTTTTTTCCCACTGTCTATACATACCCCTTCCTCAAAGTATACCCTCGAACCAGCTTTATTCGTCTGCCGGTTCTCTCATTAATGGGTTAAATAATATCATTGACGCATACTCTCGATGCTTTTGTGAAGGTCATATTTTCAACTTTTAAAAAATTATACTGTGAAAACAGATAGTAAATAAACTCCAGGGATGGTAATGCTGGCAGAAATAGGGCAGGAAAAATAACAGCGACTCCCAGCAAATGATTACTCCAATGAAGGCAAATTGGTGACCTTTCCCAGTGGGAAAGAGCCATTGAAATCAATCTGCCACCAGTGGCTGGGAAGTGGGACATTGGATGTGTGAGACCTTATTCACACAATCTGCTTGAGTTTGGTAACCAGATACCATTTCCACGTGACGATAAGCGATGTGGGCCTGCCCGCTTCATCACTTGGTGGTCCGATAAGACACCACCACTTGGGATCCTGTGGCCAATCATTTAGGCTTCTTAGAACCCACAAATAACCCAAGAGCTAATTCTCAGAACAGGAGGTCATGATTTTTTATAAAACCCCAGGTGTACGCCTGCTACTGTTTACCAGAGGGCTACAGACTACCCCTAAGAGGCAATGGAACGCCATCTCCCGTTAAAAAATCTTGCTGTGCTGCTATGGCTAACCCTATAACCTCGAACCAATTAAATACCGAGGTTCAGTCTGCACCCATTAAATGGGAATAATAGTAGCTCCCCTGGGTACAGTTAGGAGGGTCAAAAGCTTTTATGTTTTTACACTGTTTGAACCCGGTCAGTGCTTCCAAGTTCAGCATTTGCGAGCTTTTCAAATACCACGCACCAGGTCTCAAACCGCGGCCAAGATCTACCAAGGCCTGCCCCTCTCGCACCGCCCAGGGATGACGTCATTGACCGAGGTCTCTAATGAAATTATCTCCCGGCCTGCTCGGCTCATCCTCCCATTCTCCGGAAACCTACAACTCCGGCACTTGGCCTCCGGCTTTAGGTTATTTTTCCTCTCCGTAGCCCCAATCCCTTCCCTCTCATGCTCCCACCTAAAACTTTCGACTCTTCTCGCCTTCCTTCAAGCTAGTAATTTTCGGTTCTTCCCGCTTGCTCTTGGGCGAATTCCTCAAAATCGTTTCCTCTTCATTAATCGCCTCCCTAGCCCGCCCTTCAGCTCCTTCCTTCTAAATCCCATTACCCGCGCGCGGCCTCTTTCGGCTGTTTCCGCCTCCTGCCACCCACACCGACGCTACCTTCGGATCTTTCCGGATCACCACAGTTCCGTGTTGTTTTCGGTCCCGATCCGCTTCGGCTTTTTCCGGCTCTGGGGGCCCCGCCCACTTTCCTTCTAGCCCCCGCCCCCACCGCCGTCTTCGGCTCTTTCCGCCTCTTCCCCGTCTCCGGCTCTGCAACTCTCGGCTTTTCCCGCCTTCCGTCGGCCTCACTCTCTCCGTTCGGCTCTTTCCGCCGCCCTTCGAGCGAGTGGCCCGTACCCTCTCCGCCACGTGACGCGGCCTCCACCTCTCAGTTCCCCTCCCACCTCGCCCTTCCTCCCGCCTCAGCCTCCCAGCCCGTCCGGGCCGCGCCGCCATTTTGTGTGAATTTCTGACTGCGGCGGGGGCCAGGCAGCCGGGGCACCGCGGGCAGGCAGACAGACGGACAGTCAGCCCGTCTCCGCGGCCCGTTTCCTCTCCTTAAAATCTCCCCCCCCTTTTTTTTTTTTAACTCCCCCTCCCCCGCTCGCTCTCCTCTTCCCCTTTCCCCCTCGCTTGCTCCATTGCGCGCGGCCCGCGCTAATTACACCCAACCACCCACCAGTGTCCGTGTCCCCCGGGTGTCCCCCCCCCGGGCCCGCGG